ATCATAGATGATTGCTAGATTATAGATAAATTGCAATATATATACACACAAAAATAGATATATTATTGATAGATCATAGATATATATATACACATACACACATACATATATATGCAAATAGATATATTATTGATAGATCATAGATAGATTATTTTTAGATCATAGATTAATTGCATGCACGTATACACACATATACAAATAGATATATTATTGATTGATCATAGATGATCACTAGATTATAGATAAATTGCATGCACATAATATACACAAACACACACATACAAATAGATCTATTATTGATAGATCATATATATATACACACACACACACACACACACACATATACATAAACACATACATATATATATGCAAAGAGATAGATATATTATTGATAGTTTATAGATGATTGCTAGAACATAGATAATTTGCATGCATAAAATATAGACAAACATATATTCAAATATGTTTGAATATAATTATTGATAGATCATAGACAAATTGCATGCATATATATAAACAAACACAAATATATACAAATAGATATATTATTGATAAGAGCATAGATAGATGATTGCTAGGTCATAGATAAATTGCATATATATATATATATATATACACACACACACACATACACACACACAAAATTTGTATATAATAGATATATTATTGATAGATCATAGAAGATTGCTAGATCATAGATAAATTGCATATATATATATATACACACATACACACATACAAAATTTGTATATAATAGATATATTATTGATAGATCATAGATGATTGCTAGATCATAGATAAATTGCATGTATACACACAGATAAACAAACACACACATATATACAAATAGATATATTATTGATCGATTATAGATAATTGGTAGATTATAGATAAATTGCATGCATACACAAATATAAACAAATAGATATTGATAGATGATTGCTAGATCATATACAAATTGCATGCACATATATATATATACACAAACACACACACATATATATACAAATAGATATATTATTGATCGATTATAGATGATTGCTAGATTATAGATAAATTGCATGCATAAACACACACACATATATACAAATAGATAGATATATTATGGATAGATCATAGATAGATGATTGCTAAATTATAGATGAACAGATAGATGATAGAAAGACAAATGATAGTTATGTGATTGATTGATAGATAGATAAGTAAATATTGATTGATAGATAAGTAAATATTGATAAGTAAATATTGATTGATGGATAGATAGATAAGTAAATATTGACTGATAGATAAATAAGTAAATATTGATTGATTGATTGATTGATTGATTGATAGGTAAGTAAGTATTGATTGATAAGTAAATGTTGATTGATTGATAGATAAGTAAATATTGATTGATTTGATTGATAAGTAAATATTGATTGATTGATTGATAGATAGATAAGTAAATATTGATTGATTGATACATAGATAAGTAAATATTGATTGATAAGTAAATAGATAGGTATCAGTACTTTGCAAAAAGCAACCAGGAAGAGATAGATCCATGTTAAATTCAAAGCCAAAAATACTTGCTAACATCAGATACAATCTATTATTAATATTATTCCACTATTATTATTATTAATAATATCATTCATTAATATTAATTAATTAATTGATATCATAATGCAAATATGCATATTGTGTAGTTGTCAGTACTTTGCAAAAAGCAACCAGGAAGAGCTAGATCCATGTTAAGTGATAATTGCAAACACCAGATACAATCTATTATTAATATTATTCCATTATTATTATTATTATTATTATTATTATTAATTGATATCATAATGCAAATATGCATATTGTGGTGTTGTTTACTCTTGTTCTAGCTTTGCAAAGGAGGGCTCTATTAATTAATTAATTAATTAATTAATATCATAGTGCAAATATGCATATTGTGGTGTTGTTTACTCTCTGCAAAGGAGGGCTCACCTTCTTCCTCCCTTCAAGGCTGGGCCTCTTCCTCCCCTGGGATCTTCTCCTCCTCTTCCTCTTCCTCCTTCTCTGGAGCCCAGGTTTCAGGGATGCAGGGACCTCCTGGCATGGTGCAAAGCAACCCCTTGGCCCCCCAAAGAGTCCCCAGAGCTGCTCTCAGTTCCCCTCCTGGCCTGGATCCTGTGGCATGGCTGGCATTCCACCCCTTGCAACACTTCCAATTGCAAAAGAAAACAGAAAAAGAAAGTAGGGGAGCAGGAGGAAAAAAAAGGGAACCGATCTTTTCTCTGATTGGCTGAGCCCTGGCGGTTCTGCCCGGATACTGCCCTCTTCTTTAATGCGATTGGCTGCCTCTTGTTTTTTCCACCCGGATACAGCGGGGAAGGACTCGCCATTGGTTCAGAGGCTCAGGAAGTCTGCCTAGTAACATCTTCCTGATTGGTGCAGAGTCTGCCAGTTTAGAGGCGAACCAGGAAAGGCGGGGCTTGATGCAGAGAGTGGGAAGAGAGGGTCTCAGTCAGGAGGCAAAAGAGGGGTAAATGTATATATTGTGTAGATAGATTCCCTGCCTAATATATACACACATAACCATAGCCATATATATTTACATGTATTTATATTTATCTATATGTATTATATTTATATTTATCTATATATTTATATACAGTAAATGCATTTCCTTTACTAATAGCTATATGTACTTTGGCCACATCATGAGGAGACAGGAAAGCCTAGAGAAGACAATTATGCTGGGGAAAGTGGAAGGCAAAAGGAAGAGGGGCCGACCAAGGGCAAGATGGATGGACGGCATCCTTGAAGGGACTGGACTGACCTTGAGGGAGCTGGGGGTGGTGACGGCTGACAGGGAGCTCTGGCGTGGGCTGGTCCATGAGGTCACGAAGAGTCGGAGACGACTGAACGAATGAACAACAACATATGTATGTGTGTGTGCGTATATATATATACATACATATATACATATATATATACACATATATATAGAAACATCATTTCATTCTATTTATATTATATTAATACAAACACACATATGTATCCATATATATATATATATATATATATATATCCCTACCTAATATATATGTGTGTATATGTATATATAATATCACTTTGTACCATATATATTTATATATTATATATACCAGAAATATATATATACATACATACAATGTATATATATAGAGAGAAACATCACTTCATGCTATTTATATTAATACAAACACACATATGTGTCCATATATATATGTGTGTGTGTGTGTGTATGTGTATGTATATATAATATCACTTTGTGCCATATATATATATTATATTATATATATACACCAGAAATATATATATATATACATACATATACACACATATGTATGTATATATATATATATATAGAAACATCACTTCATGCTATTTATATTATATTAATACAAACACACATATGTATCCATATATATGTGTATGTGTATGTATATATAATATCACTTTGTGCCATATATATTTTATATTATATATATACCAGAAATATATATATATACATACATATACACACATATGTATGTATGTATATAGAAACATCACTTCATGCTATTTATATTATATTAATACAAACACACATATGTGTCCATATATATATGTGTGTGTGTGTGTATGTGTATGTATATATAATATCACTTTGTGCCATATATATATATTATATTATATATATACACCAGAAATATATATATACATACATACATATACACACATATGTATGTATGTATATATATATATATAGAAACATCACTTCATGCTATTTATATTATATTAATACAAACACACATATGTATCCATATATATGTGTATGTGTATGTATATATAATATCACTTTGTGCCATATATATTTTATATTTTATATTATATATATACCAGAAATATATATATATACATACATATACACACATATGTATGTATGTATATAGAAACATCACTTCATGCTATTTATATTATATTAATACAAACACATATATATGTATCCATATATATATATATATATATAAAATTCCCGACCTAATATATATATGTGTATGTATATATAATTTCACCTTGTGTCATATATTTTTATATTATATATATATATATATACTAGAAATATATACACACACAAACACATATATATATAAACATCACTACATGCTATTTATGTTATATTAATACAAACACACACATATGTATCCAAATACATATATATCTCCCTACCTAATATATATGTGTGTGTATGTATATATAATACCACTTTATGCCATATATCTTTGATATATACTATATATATATGTATATGTATATATATAGATAGAAACATCACTTCATGCTGTTTATATTATCTTAATACAAACACACATATATGTATCCAAACACACACACACCTGTATATACCACTCCCTATCTTATATATATGTTGTTGTTGTTCATTCGTTCAGTCGACTCTGACTCTTCGTGACTTCATGGACCAGCCCACGCCAGAGCTCCCTGTCGGCCGTCACCATCCCCAGCTCCTTCAAGGTCAGTCCGGTCACTTCAAGGATGCCATCCATCCATCTTGCCCTTGGTCGGCCCCTCTTCCTTTTGCCTTCCACTTTCCCCAGCATCATTGTCTTCTCCAGGCTTTGCTGTCTCCTCATGATGTGACCAAAGGACTTCAGCCTTGTCTCTAGTATCTTTCCCTCCAGTGAGCAGTCGGGCTTTCTTTCCTGGAGGATGGACTGGTTGGATCTTCTCGCAGTCCAAGGCACTCTCAGCACTTTCCTCCAGCACCACAGCTCAAAAGCATCGATCTTCCTTCGCTCAGCCTTCCCGAAGGTCCAGCTCTCACATCCGTAGGTGACTACAGGGAAGACCATGGCTTTGACTAGGCAATGGATCTTGGTTGCCAGTGTGATGTCTCTACTCTTCACTATTTTGTCAAGACTGGACATTGCTCTCCTCCCAAGAAGGAAGCGTCTTCTGATTTCCTGGCCACAGTCTGCATCTGCAGTCATCTTTGCGCCTAGAAATACAAAGTCTGTCACGGCCTCCACAATTTCTCCCTCTATTTTCCAGTTGTCAATCCTTCTTGTTGCCATAATCTTGGTTTTTTTGATGTTGAGCTGCAACCCGGCTTTTGCGCTTTCTTCTTCCACCTTGATGAGAAGGCTCCTCAGCTCCTCCTCGCTTTCGGCCATCAGAGTGGTGTCATCTGCATATCTGAGGTTGTTAATGTTTCTTCCAGCAATTTTCACCCCAGCTTTGCTTTCATCAAGCCTTGTGACATATACCTTTTTATAATATATATACTAGAATATATACATACACACACACATAATACATGGATATTTTAATATAATATAATTATATGTGTAGCTATATATATGATACTATATTATAATTTAATGTCTATTATAACATATGTTACACACACATACATATATATATAGCCAAGTGCACACATATAAACACACACACATACATATATAGCTCCCTGCCATATGTCTTATGTATCCTATCTTATCTATATTTATATCTATATATATATAGTATTATATTGTGTGTGATATATATATATATACACACACACACACACACACACACACCAGCTTGGGTCCCCAGCGTTGCCCGGGTTATTTGAAAAAGTCATTTTTTTTTTAATTTTACAAAATGCATAAGGTTGTGGGTGAACTACAACTCCCATCACGCCAGGTTCACCCCCTGAAACTCTGTCAATACTTAAAGTTTGTCGTGTTGGGCAACTTTGCTTGAGATGCATCATCAGTATATTATGTATTGCATATTTTGTAGGAATAATGTGAAATAGAATCTCCAAAATTTGCACGTTCATTTATCAAAAGTAGACATGCGTGCATATAAAAAAACCACGATCATATTGTACATTCTGTATTTGTATCACACTTTTTCTCCAATCAAGCCATGAGGCATCCTCTCAACTGGGATGCAATGCAAATTCTCTAAAATCAGCTCTTTGTGTTTACAAAGTGTATTTATAAATATGTATAAATATCTACAGTGGTGATATTGTACATATATTTTGCATTTGTAACACGACTGTCTCTGATCAGGCCATGAGGCATCCTAGAAGGAGAGAACATCTCTTGCAGCCAAGGTAAAACACTCCACAGTCTGCTATTTGTGTTTATACACCGTATGTAATATATGGATCTATATATAAGAAGCATCCGTCATATTGTGTATTTTACATTTGTTTCACGATCCATCCTAGGAAGAGGGATGTTCTGTAATATCCCAAAATCTGCTCTTTGCATTCATACAATGTGTGTGTGTTGTTGTTGTTATTATTATTATTATTAGCTGTCCCCTGCCATGCATTGCTGTGGCCCAGTATGTGTATATGTATTGTGTTTGTGTATATGTGTGTGTTTATATTTATGTATATGTATGGTTGCATATGTGTGTGTGTGTGGCTTTGCACATGCATTGTAATGTGTGCGTTTCTTATTTTTGGCTTTTAAAGTCTCTTCCGCTGTGTTTTTCAATGTTTTTATGAGTGATGGTCACTCGTTGGCCTGAGAGGTGTCTTGTGTCCGAATTTGGTGTCAATTCGCCCAGTGGTTTTGGAGTTATGTTAATCCCACAAACGAACATTACATTTTTATTTCTATAGATTGTACATTAATAATAATAATAATAATAATAATAAACACACAACACATATATACAAATAAAACACATATACACAGACTGCTGTGGCCCAGTCTGTGTATATGTGTTTTGTGCATGTATATATGTGTATGTGTGTATTTGTTTTATATATGTATATCTCTGGTTTTGCACATGCGTTGTAACGTTTTTTTTATTTTTTGTCTTTTTAAGTCCCTTCTGCTGTGGTTTCCAGTGTTTTTATGAGTGATGGTCACTTGTTGGCCTGATAGGAGTCTTGTGTCCAAATCTGTTGTCAATTTGTGCAGTGGTTTTTGAGTTATGTCAATCACACAAACGAACATTACATTTTTATTTATATAGACTAGCCGTCCCCTGCCATGCGTTGCTGTGGCCCAGTGTGTATATAAGTGTTTTGTGTGTATGTATATGTATGTATATATTTGTGTATATATATGCGTTTGTGTTTATATATATGGTTTTGCACATGCGCTGTAGCATCTTTTTGCTTTTTGGGCTTTTTAAGTCCCCTCCGCTCTGTTTTTCAATGTTTTTATGAGTGATGGTCACTTGGTGGCCTGATAGGTGTCTTGTGTCCAAATTTGGTGTCAAAAAGTCCCTTCTGC